GTCTTTCGGACGCGAAGTCGAGCCGCGATTCGACGAAACGGTCGCCGCCTTTGTTGCTCTCGAAGACTGTGGCGACGCCTTTGGTGGGCGTCGGGAGCGCCGGCATGTCGTCACAATAGGTGGCGTTGCAGACGCAGACGGTGTCGGCGCCGGCAATGACGCGTTTGTCGCAGAGACGTCTGGCGGACACTGAAAGAGCGGAAAAGTGAGCGGAAATCGGAAATAAAGCGCGAAAACGACAGACCGTTGGCCGCGAAGAGCGCGACAATCGTCGCAACGATTAATGCATTCATTTTTGGAGTTGTTTTGAGACAAGAATTGCTGCGTTTTATAGGAAGAAAACGTTCAAAAATATGTTGTTTTCATAACTACTGAGCGATAAGTCGTGGGTTTCGGACACCTGTCGAGAGATAACGGCTTTCGGAACGATTGGACGCAAAGTATTGCGTAAGAATGCAATGCTTTTCATCATTAGTTACGGACTTAAGTGTTGTTTTGCTATCAAAAGAACACAATTCGACATAACTTTCAAATACTTTGCAATCATTTCGCAGAACTTTTGTTCGGGATTTTGAATGAAAACCTATTTTTCGACACAAATACTAAATGTCTTTGAAATTGGAACCAATTCTTAGAATTTTGCATTCATTTCAATGGCAAAAAATTTAAGTGTCTTTCCATTGCATCATTGGACGATTTGTAAATGAGCTTGCACACTCTTATTACGCCATTGTTGACCACTTTTGACCGAATATTGCACTCAAAGAGCGTAACAAATATTGGACACAAAGAGAAAAGTCTTTATTCTCTGACTTGTGTCTCGTTTGTCACGAATTTCACGCCTTTTTCATCACTTTCTGTCTCTTTATTGCCGCCAATTAAGGCCTCCACACAAGATGCCAATTGACACCAATATAAGCCACAGATTGCGATCACAAACACGAACGTCGAGCGCCTCATCTCCGCGCCAACGTCTTCGCCCGAATCCACGCGAGTCTCGAAACCACTCAAAGCCAACTCTCGGCCTCAGACGGCTGTACCCGACGTTCTCGCCCTCCAAGACCTGTTCCGCTGTCCCGACGAAGACCTCTGCGAACGAATCCAAAAGTACTCGAAATCCAAACAAACAATCCGTTAATCACTTCTTCGCCAATCCCTGTCTTTTGCGCCTTTGGTCTCGTCTTGAGTTCCCTTCTCTTCAGCGCAAGAAATCCGCGAAAGAAGACAACTCTCGAGACAATCGACGCAAAAGTTTTCGTAATTCAAGACATTATTTGTTGAAAGCATTCAAACATTTCATTCAAAATCATATGTTTTCTCAAAACTCTTCAGACGACTCTTCTTGTGGCCAAATGTGGCCCAAAAAGGTGAGTCCAGTCGCAGGAGACGCCCGTATTTACGCTCATTCTTTGACAGTCAAAGCCGACCACAACTGACGACAAGTTCGCCGCCGAAGAAGAGGCGAAGGACTCGTTCTCGCGATTCGGAGACGACTTATGCGAAGAGTTGTTGTCTTTGCTGTCTATTGAGGACTCGTTTCGCTGTCAATGCGTTTGTCTTCAGTGGAGAAGAAGTGTTTTTCGCCGCAAATCCCAACTCGAACTCAACGACCAGTTGTTCAGCAAATGGCAAAAAGTGGATCTCTTTGGCC